GGGGGTCCCTGTAATAAGGACTCTAGTATCTTGGGATCTATATTGGAGTCCCACTATTTTGGGAAAGTGACTCATCGGGGGATGCAGGCGTGAGCAGCGCAGTTGCGTAAACCGTCCAAGGGCGCGGCAGAGAGATGAGAGCTTCCGGTTTGCTTTAGCGTTCGGGCCTCAAGTCAGAATTCCGCCCAGTGACTGGCATTCAAGAGGGTGATGCCCCCAAAAGCCAACTATGCAAGAACGGCGTAGGTCGGACGAATGTACGCCACCTAGGGATTGAATCACAATCAAGCAAAGCTCTCAGCAATCCCTGTGAAGCAAGTCGTACAAACTCTGCGGCAGGCTTTGGCAAACCTGAGGACTTGGCCATTTCTGTGACTCTCAAAAACTTCAGTGCTCATGCATGAAGGCACTTGTCAGACTAGCCGCGATTTACACTAAGTCGCCTTCAGGGTCTACAAGCAATAACCTCCCGTCTGATCCGGCTACTGTCTGAAGCAGCAATAGGCTAAACACAACCTGACAACTTTTTATACATTGACAACGACTTCTACTGCCCTGAGTGGCATTAAACCGGATGTTGTCTTCGCATCTCTGACCTGTGCAGCCAATGAATTATGCCTGTTGAAACAAAAATGACTGCGGGATGTCCAATGCTTTGCGAATGAGCAGGTTGCTACAGAAGTCGGACGACACAATGATCCAACGTCTCTTCACCTTGCTGTACTCTGCCTCTGCGCCAGAACCTCTCTGGTACATGGTCTAATGTCCACAAGTCTGGTACATGGTCTAATGTCTGCACTGCAGGCCCACGCATTGCGCAGCATGAGGTCTCACACCGCCCCTGCGTTTTTTCCAGCACTTTGCCCAACCAGTTTGCTAATCCACTTGGAATGACATGGCAAGATGGACTGGCTTTGCGGAGGTCCGCACGCAAGACCGTCCCCTCACGAAGCTCGCTGCAGGCCTTCTTTACTCTGTATGCTAACACTCTAGCACGACTCGACATGCATGTAGACCTCCAAGGCAGAATCCTGTACAAAAACAGTCTGGGACTTCACTGAATCACATCCTGCATTGTTGATGTGCCTTCAATTCAGCATCATGCACAGTGAGCGCGCAACTTCGCCTCAGTCAAGTCTAGATTTCCTGGCTTGTGCAGCTCAGACGAATGGTGCACTGCAACCCAAGACGCACATGTACTATGGTCTAAACTCCTGAGAGGGGCTTATATGGGGGACTAGATAGGGGACTACTTTTGGGCTTACTAAGGGGTATACTAGGAGTTTAGACAGTAGAACACATGATGCATGATTGTTTTCGTCGGAGGGCAATGCTTCGCGCGGCCATTTCTCGACTGAGAAGGGGCCGTTGCCAACGTTTTTCGGGCTGTGGCAAACATTCTGCCCGCACCGTGCGTGTGTCTACTTGCTTTCGGAAAAGTAGTAGTGCTGGCCAACAGCAACCAGCACAATCACAACAGCAAGGACGATTCGGCCCCTTGGGCTGAACATTGCTGAAAACATACTTTTCACATGGCCCCACAGTTTGAGGCCTTTCATCATGAAGGGCATTACCCTTGAGATCATCTTGGCCTGCGACTCACTGACCTCCATGCCTGCGGACTTCGCCATGCTCTGCAGCGCCTCTGGAGATATGTTCCTGGGCTCAGAAATCGTGGTTTAGGGTTTAGGGTTTAAGGTTTTGGGATCTAGGATGAAGAATCAAATGGCAAGATAATGGAAAAAATTGGAAAAATCGAAAAATGTGGTGATTTATTGGTTTGTCGTTAAGGGATTAGCTTCTCGTGCTGCGCTGCTGCTCTTCCTGCTCTGACTGCATGCTCTCTTAGTCCCTGAACTTATGGGCTAATAGGAATCAAAGGGTGAAAAAAATTGAATCTACCACGCTATTGGGGATTTATATAAGGGCTTCTATGACATCTAGTACTGCACTCTCAACCCTAACACGTACAAGTTATAATGTATTTTTTCTTGTCCATGCCTGTTTGGCCTACTAGCAACCAGCCAGTGACTAGTGTACCCAAAACCCTGAAGCCTAAATCCTAAACCCTAAATCCAGAGCCCTAAATCGTAAGCCCAAAACACTTGAATCCACAACCCTAAATCCTAAACCCTAAATCCTAAACCCTAAAACCTCAATCCTAAATCCTAAACCCTAAACCCTAAACCCTAAATCCTAAATCCTAAATCCTAAATCCAAGACGCTTCATCATCTCCTCGGCGGCCTTCATCATCTCTGGGTCTTTCAGCATCGCCGAGGGATCAGCACCATCGCCTCCGGCCTTCATTTTCCTTGGGATTTAGGATTTAGGATTTAGGGTTTAGGATTCAGTAGGGTTTAAGGGGCAGGGAAAGGGATAAGATCCCCTGTCTGTAGGCGTTTATGGAAATGAAAAATGACTGTGAAGGGGGACTGCCATCTGTATATGAGTCCCTAGACGAGGGACTCAACTTTTTGGAGAGTATACAAAGAAAACCCCACGACCCCACGTGTTGGAAATGCCCACTAGATAAAGCACTTCATAAGAGCCCTCTACTTCACTTCTGCCAAGCCAGCTTCATGCTCATGTCCATCATCTTCTGCATCTGTTCGGGGGGAATGTTCTTCATCATGTCGGTCATGGCATCCATCCTCTGCTCACAAGAACGTCAGCGCAGAGCGCCACAAATTCCAAGGCAAGTTAAAGTCTGATAGATTTCAGTTAGGGATCCCATGTAGAAGGGGGTTTGGGGGCTTAGGCGGTTTAGGGTTTGGGGGGTCCCTATAACATGAATTATAATCAGCTTGCACGTTCTTCATAAACATCTATCAAAGATCCCTGTGAACCTGCGTGGGCACATATGCTTCTCTCGTGCATTTTTGCATGCTGGGCTTCATCTCAGGATTCTCCGTCATCTTTTTCATCAGCTCGGCCTGTCCGTTGGCTTTCTCACAAATCTCACCCTAAGCCCTGCACCCTGAACCCTAGGCCCTAAACCCTGAAGCTAAGCCCGCAGCCTAAACCCTAAGCCCTAAACCCTAAACCCTGCGCCCTAAACCCTAAGCCCTAAACCCTAAGCCCTAAACCCTAAACCCTAAACCCTAAAGCCTAAGCCCTAAACCCTAAATGACTTGCTACCCCTTCGGCTTCTACGGCTTCCGTGGCCTCGGGCCCGGAGCCCCCCTGACCCATGGCGCTGGCCGCGGCCATGGCGGACTTCATGGCCGCCGGATCCTTCAGCATGTCCTCAGCTATTGGGATAATGGAAAAGAAAATGGAAACTACCGGGATTATAGGGATTATTTAGGGGATGTATAGGGATTCTAGGTTATATATTGGGGCTCTATTGGGATAATGGAAGCATGTCCTCAGCAACACAAGTTAGGGGTTTAGGGTTTAGGGCTTAGGGTGCAGGGTTTAGGGTCTAGGGGTTTAGGGGTTTAGGGGTTTAGGGGTTTAGGGGTTTGGGGTTTAGGGGTTTGGGGTTAGGGTTTCCAAAAATTAGGGCTACCCTTTGAAGGGGTTTATAGCGGTTACAAAGGGTATGTAGGATTTAGGGTTTAGGGGTCTCCCAAAATTAGGGGCACCCTTCAGCATGTCCTCAGCTACTGGGATAATGGAAAAGAAAATGGAAACTACCACATCATGACAGGGTTAGGGTTTAGGGTTTACAGTGTAGGGTTTAGGGTGTAAACATTTTGGGGTTGTATTGGGATAATGGACAATGAACTGGAAGCTGCAATAATATACTGGGGTTATATTGGGATAATGGAAAATAAAAGGGAAACTACTATTTAGGGTTCAGGGTTTTCCAAAATTAGGGTACCCTCTTGGGGGGGTCCAATAATAAGAATTACAATATTTTGGGTGTCTATATTGGGGTCCCCCTATTTAGGGAAACTACTGCAAGTACAGGAGCAAGACCCGTTCGGGTTGCAGCCCAGCGTCCCCCATTTTGCTGAAATCGGGTGCCTAGGGAACTTCTTTGGCCACCACTAGACACACCACACCGCACATCAGCAAAAAAAACATCTTGGTAGCTCAAAATCCTAATCATTTGAGCTTTCATCTAAACTCCTAGCTCTTAATAACCCCTACAACGCTCCCCTATATAATCCCCTATAACAACCTCCATTAAGACTTTAAGGAGTTTAGACTAGAGCTCATTGTGCTAATCAATCACTGAGGCCTGACCGGCCGCACCTCCTGAGGCTGCCTGGAGCATGCGCTTCCGCTCCTGAAAGGCTGACGGAAGATAACTGGATTATATAGGGTAATATAGGGGTTGTATAGGGATACTGGAAAAGAAAATGGAAGCTACTATTTAAGGTTTAGGGTTTAGGGCCTTCGGTTAGCTGGGACTGAAAGAAGGGAAAAACAGTGGAAACTACTATAATGGGTGCTATAGGTACTACTATAAGGATCCATTCCTTCTTTCCTAGCTAACCAAAGGTAAGGAATTGGCTGGAACGGGTCAAACCTTCCCGCCAACCTTCCAAAATCACAAATACAACCCGTGTATAAACACGTTTACACTCCCAGTAATCCCTGTAGTTTCCGTTCTATCTTCCATTGTCCCAATATAACCCCAATATGTATACATCCTAAACCATCTAAACCCTAACCCTGTCATAGCATAGTAGTTTCCATTTTCTT